CAATCTACTGCTCAGGCGAGCACTCTACTCTCGGTTCTCTCTGATGTTGCTGCTGAGATTTTGTTGTTCTGCCACTACGCCTTTACTCAACTTGTTGCATGAGATGCCTAAACAATAAGGTTTTGTCGGATGTTGTACATGTTGTGAAGAACTCCCGTAAGTAACGTTTGAATAACATAAGTTTTGTCGGGACGTAGTTTGCAAACCAAAGGCCCTCTTGATTGCGATTTACTCACTAAGTGATCTCTTAAAGTGGATCTTAAAGTGGATTACATGTCCAACGTTTGTTTGATGGTATGTCTGAGATCCACTTTGCAGTCTAAGATCTCTTAAAGTGGATCTTAAAGTGGATTACATGTCGCCTTCTAATTGGTAAGCGACCCTATGTTATTATCAGGTTGAAACTGTCCTAAGATTAATATTCAGTTGATTGTGAATTTTGCCTCCGTTTGGTGAGGCTTGAGTCTCCTCATTTGATGAACCAAACAAAGTGGTCTTGAGAAATAGCGCTCACCTCTTGGCCAAATTCATACTTGATGGGGATTGATGGGTTTGTTCGTTATGCCTAATGGAAATATGATAGCAGAAAGAAAACAATTGACTGATGACGACGCAAATAATTTTGTTCGAGAGCTCGATCGATTAATTGGGTGTTGGTGAGATCCCATAAACTGATTGGCTTTCAGTTTATTCATGACCAATTGTAACAAGCTTGATGGAGTTTGACTTTGTATGCAATAGAAGTGACTCTCGTGATTATTTCCTTGGCGATGGACTTCTTTGATCAGACTCTTACAAAGTCAGAGTCACACTCAACAGATTATGTTGTGTGAACCACGCCTAGTGGACCTTGCTGTATGAGTTGCATCCAACAAATGTTGGACATGTAATCCACTTTAAGATCCACTTTAAGAGATCACTTAGTGAGTAAATCGCAATCAACAGGGCCTTTGGTTTTCCCGACAAAACTTATGTTATTCAAACGTTACTTACGGGAGTTCTTCACAACATGTACAACATCCGACAAAACCTTATTGTTTAGGCATCTCATGTAACAAGTTGAGTAAAGGCGTAGTGGCAGAACAACAAAATCTCAGCAGCAACATCAGAGAGAACCGAGAGTAGAGTGCTCGCCTGAGCAGTAGATTGYCGTCCATTAACATAAAAACAAGACTATGAGGGACGCAGAGATACTGGTAATGAGATGCAAGATCAATAAAGAAAAATATGAAGGATGGGAAGTGGARATCTTCCAAGACATGGAATTTCATAAGTTGGTTTTGAGAGAGCGTGTTATCAAGAGGATTGGGGGAAGGAAATACATAGAGTATGTTTTCTATTTCGACGATCATAGCGGTAAGYTGCACAACACTSGATCCTCTTTGGAAACCATTGTACAGGCCAAAGCAAAGTTCAGGCAACGCTRAATATTCACTCTCATCTCTCAAAGGTTTAATCAGCAAGTAGCAATCAACAAAACARCAATCAACACTCTTTCTTGGTCTATTACTTGACAACTTTCAATCATCAGCGACATTATCTGTAATTATKAATATGAGTTTAGTCAGTCAAAGTTTGAATCAATGTTGCTCAGTCAGCGAATTGTTGTTCATTCTCAGTCAAAGTTCTTCATCAATCAACTTATTGTCAGTAACTCCCACAACACATGAGTACTATCACCTCATTTCCGGTTCAGCAGACTGCCTTGACCARTCTCAACAACATCGCTTCCAAGGATGCTTTCCAGTATCGGTATGTCAGTGCAGTACGTTTCAGACAAGAWGATTGTCAATCTTCGGTGTCCTCACTGAGTTTGTTGAGGATACTATTCATGAGCACTTCGATCCAGTCTAGATCTTTGCAGCCAAATACCTTGAGGAGAGAMAACGAGAACTTGAGGGTGGCACAAAGTTGATCCGTAGCTTTGGACCCAAACTCTACACTGATTATCCTAGGCCTCCAGTTCCTTTCTACCTCATTGATGGCTTTTATTGGGGTGAACTGGTAGATTTGGGCACGAGGTACATTGCTCCGGCAAAGATTGACTATGAGGCAGTGACATAGCCATCATAGTTCCGACATCTCAGGCGAGGGATCTTCTTCAGGTCGTATCTTCCTACTCTGTGGGAGGAGTTATGTGCTATGCTTAACTTCCAAATCTTCGGCCTTGGGTGGACCTATTCAAAACTCAAGGGTTTTAGGTGGCTCTATATTACTAGACCACAACCTCAAGAAGTACATAGATGTTGCTATCTTGTCGTCCTCTGGTCCAATGCCGTCTCCATCTAATATGTGACCCAAGTAAAGGACTTTTGTCTTGGCCCACTCACACTTATTCGCGTTGATCTGGAAGTTAGCCCCTCGCATCTTCTCCAAGATCTGCCTCAGATGGCCCTCATACCTAGTAAACTACAACAAATATGTCTAGCCACGGCCTAAACAAGTCATTCATGCAGCGCTGGAATGTGGCTGGTGCATCAGTCAGTCCAAAGGGCATTACTATAAACTCATAATGCCCATATCTAGTCCCAAACGCGGTCTTGTATTGATCATCAGGGTGTACCTCTATCTGATGGTACCCTGATTCGAGATCTCTCTTTGTGAAGTACTTACAACCTTGAACCCGACCCAACAGGTCATCCATGCGGGGCAATGGTTCTGCATTCTTGATTGTTATGGCGTTCAGACTCCTGTAGTCTATACACATTCTTAACTCTCCCTGGGGACAAATAGGACTGGTGCGCGAAAAGGAGATGAGCTCAGTCTAATCCATCCCTTTTCGAGGAGCTCCTCTAACTACTTACGCAGGTTCTCCAATTCCTTGGGAGACATCTTGTAGACTGCTCCCTTAGACGTTCTACTGCCAAGTTCTATCTCTTTATGATGCTGAATGGGTCTTGGCACTACTCCTGAGGGCGCCTCTAATAGATCCTTGTACTCGTTCAACAAACTGGCAATAGTGGGATGAATCTCTTTTTCCTCCTTTGGCTGATCAGAAACTGGCTTGACATAGAACATGCGGGCTTTCTTGACCCCACCTGCCGGACTAGGGAGCCTGCACTCGTGCTTTCTAAGGTGCAATGTGGCCCCGACTGCCTCTCTCCAATCTGTTCCAATAACTATATCAAATGGGAGGTTCTCTTCTACGAGGAGAGTCAGAGAGTGATGGACTTTCTCGACCTTCCCTCCTCGCTCTAGGCTAAAAATACGCTTGGACTCCCTCTACGTACTCTCGATCTGCATAATGCGGTTGTCTGCAAGGATACTGACTACACGTTCCTTCAGCTTTTGGACCTTGAGGCCTAGCCTCAACTTCTTCAGCGCTCTACGACTAATGTAGCTTCTGGTGGCCCCACTGTCTATACGGGTCCCTACTCTAGCTGTAAGAATCTCTAGATCTGCTAAGATGAGGTGCCCTTTTCCATCCTTCTTCTTGGCCTAGGCTTGCCTTCTCTCCTTCAACTCTTCAACTAAGCATGTGAGGGAAACACCTAGAGAGACTCCAACACAAGCAGTCTCGGGGCAGCAAACTAGGCGATGTCCAGTAACCTCTGCCATGGAAGCACGTGGAGTGGAAGTTCCTGTTTTGCGCGCACGCTCATCTCCACGTACTCCTAGGTTAGGGGCAGTTGCTACCTCTACCAACGGTTGCCTTTTGCTGCCCCAGATGCAGTACAACTCCTAAACTTTGGGCATTTTTGCTGCCCCAGATGCAGTACGACTCCTATACTTCGGGCATAATTTGATGATGTGCCCAAGGTCTCCACAGAACACGCACTGGCGCTTGTCTACTCGGTCCTGCCAGACATTCTGCCCTATTCCCAGGTCCTCCCAAGGTCGCCCTTCGGGCCGTCCTGGGTGCCATCCTCCTCTTCTGGGAGGTGACCGACTGGAACGCAGGCGGTTAGATGGAGGACCTTGACCCCTTTCTCCCGCTTGGCAGTCCTTGTTGCCGCCAACCTCCTGGCCGCCCTGTCCTCGGCCACCTGAGGGCTGGCCATTCCTGCCTCGGCCTCCTCCTCCTCCTTGCAGCCTCCCTCTGGCCGCGACACATCATAAGTACTCCCCTTTCCTGCACTGATGTCCTCTTCCAACCCCCACTCTATGCGAGTGTAGGGGATCTCTTCCACATCTTCCATTGTTAAAATAATACTGTCATTGGCCTTCATTTGGCCAGAGATGGTGCGGCCCTTCCACTTCCTGCCCTTTGTTAGATCCTTATGCCAGAAAGTGGTCACTGCCATAGCTTGGGCGGCAAAAGCAACGGCCTCTCTACTAAGGAGGTCGTACGCCATTCTTGGTTGTTGCTTTTTAGAAAAGAAATGCCCTTGCACTTGCTCGGGCAGCACACAGTAAAAGAGTTGGATAAGCTGTGCCTCGATCACCCCATGCCCGGGCACAACGATAAGCTCGTCCATAGCGGCCTTTAGGACGTGTACACTCCGCCATTGCCACATATCGATTGTCGGGAGTTTGTCTGACGCCCTTATCCCACTAGTGGCTCCGCGAAGCATTCTCACAATGCAGTGAGAAAGTCTGTGAGGTGGTGGCAGCAGAGTACTTGACCATGTCATTTTAGCAGTGGGCTGCGTGTGCGAGTGACTGCGCGAAGCTGGTCGCTTCCTCTCTAAGAGCCTGAAAGGCTACTAAGACATGATCCTCGGGGTCTACACCTTGTAAATACATATACGACTTGGCATTGGCTTCCCAATTGTCAAAATCTCCCCTGTCTTTCCACTATGGCTCGGGGAAACGGACCTTGACCCGTTCCCGCCACGGTCGGTCCTCTTCTTCCTTAGGGGCTGCTATTTTGGCACCCTCTATAGTGCCCGTACAAAACCTTTCTGTCCTGCCCATCGTGTTCCGCAATTCATTGACGATATAAGTCATCATATCCTGGGCAAAATCCTGGAATCCGACTCGTATGGACTCAAATGCTATATCGTGCCCGCGGATATGTTTCAGCTGTTCCTGCTGGGCAGTGAGGATGGACTCAACACTACCGGACATAGTGTCAATCTTTTGCCCCAACTCAATTTCTTCTCCTATCTTTCCCAATCGTGTCTCTGTCGCCTTCAATTGTTTTTTCCATTCGATCTGCTACCTCCACGGGGATCCTCCTTTCTTTCCCATGGCGCAACTTCCACTCCAACTGCTTTTCTTGTTCCCTTGCTTGTCGACGCAAGGGATCCCTTTCTGCTTCCAACTCCCTGCTGACCGCTTCTCTCTCTTCCTGGGGAATCGTCAACTCAACTTCTTTATCTTCCCCCAGGGATAAATTAGCCACCCATTCTTTTACTGTCTTTTCCGCCTCTTCTGGTGGAGCCATACTGGAGCTTGCTTCTCCCCTTCTTCGCAACAACATGTCTTCCTCTTCGACTTCTTCTTCTACTTTTGCCTCCACGGCATCCAACTTCGCCTCTTACTCCTCCATCTGCTTCTTCTTGGCTGCTGCTTCTTCAAGCAGGGCTAATTTCTTGGCCTGCTGGATCAACGCCTTCTCCGTCCTCTCCCTCTTTTCACGGAGAACGGTGACAACTCTCTCTTCCTGTGCCTTGCTATATGGGGTTGTGCTAGTTCCGGTCCTGGTGGTCACCATGTTGGTAGGGCACAATCACTAGTGACTCCACTCCTCAACACGTAGACCTCACCTCTAGACTCCGACTTCATTAGGACTACAAAGGTCTCTCCTCCGTCACTGTGATTCCACAACCGTCGGATGCTTTCGCAACCACAGTCACCAATCTTTCCACAGCCTTCGGATGCTTTTGCAACCACAGTCACTGACACCCACCTGGCTTCCGCCTCAGATTGACGCTCTGTCAACTACTCGATTCTAGCCTAAGCTACTGCTAGTCTGTCACTATAGGACTATTGGCTGACCAGGAGGCATTTAAGGAGATCCCCCGTAACTCCTCAAGAATTCTTTACCGTCGCAGTCAGGACGACGATCACAGCCAAAGTCCTGTCAAGACTGGACACCCGCTCTGCAGCTCGGAGTTCGGGTATAGTGTACCACCCAGAGCAACCTGCTGGTCTGTACCGGTCCTTGGGGTGTTTTACCAGGTCGTCTAGCGTCAAATACACCTCACCCCTACTAAGTCCCATGCAGACACTGGCTCACAGCCCCTATCAGATCACATGCATGGAGCCTATCGACCTGGACAGGAGTGACTCGATGCAGAAAGAGATGACAAAGTCTTGAGCAAGTACCACGGTGAGCACACAACATCCACACGACATTGGGGACAAGGTCTAAGGCTTGAAGGGTTATACCGTTCCTCGCTTCGCACTCCAGCTTGGTGGATGGGCACCGTGAACGCTCGCCGGTCAACCCCCGGTCAACGCCGGTCAACCCCTGGTCAATGTCGGTCAACTCCAGTCAACGCTTGCTGATCAACTTTCCAAGGTCCTGCTATGGCAGCTTCTTCCCCTTCGTCAACCTTTCCTTCCTCGTCCACGAGCTCGTTCCTCTGAGTTAGTGGCTATGGCGGACTGTCTTCTTCCTCTTCACGGGCGTCTCTCTCTCTCTCTCTCTCTCTCTCTCTCTCTCTCTCTCTCTCTCTCTCTCTCTCTCTCTCCCCCCCCCCCCCCCCCCCTCCCTCTACTCCTTTGCCGCAGTCTCCTTCCTCTTCGCTGCAATCGGTGCAATGGTGCAGACGACGGAAACCAGCTCTGATGCCAGTGCAATCAGACTCGTCTTCAACTTCACTTCCAACATGCATGCATACAGATGCCAATGGCAGAAGAAACTTTCAGAAGGTAGAATGAGCAACAAGCATGAGATGGCGCACAGCGCCCACACAGAAAACTCAGATATACTGCCCTTGGCCAGAAACTCAGTAGATGCCAGCTTGTCACAGCTTGCAGCTATGGCATCTAGACGCCCGTCTGAAATCCCACCCGTACACTGTATCCACCATCACACACTCGCACTCAGTTACACACAGATACACACACGCTAGGATCTACCCTGAATGTCCACGCCCACACACATACATGTTACTGCTGTCGTCAACAAAGCTGGCAGCTATGGTCGTCGTCGTCTTCCTCCTCCTCTAGCGGCTATGGCCGCTGCCCACTTCTGCTTTGGGCTCCTGCAGACCTCCAACACACAAGTCACTTCCGCATGGCTCGCAGGCGAATGGACGAATGGCTGGGTGCTGCCTCTTTATTTATACCGTTTCGCCGTGGTCTGGCCTGCCTTCTGTCCCCGGCCCAAGGAATGTGCAGCCCCACCTGGTACTTGCTGACTAGACAAGGTTGACTGGGACTGCGACTGGGACTGGACTGTACTTTGCTGACTCATCTACACACGACTGACTCCTACAGCCTCGAAAGGTCAAGTTGACGATTCTAGAACCTCCTAGGCTACGACTAGCTGACCCCTACAACCCCGAGCAGCCACGTTGTAACTTCTAGACTGAACCTTCACTACACTTAGGACTGATCTATAGGACTGACCCTAAACTACTAACCTGTAGGTCGTCAGCTCAAGTCCACATGACCCAGACTACATACAGGAGACATTTGTACATCAGTTGAGGGAAGGTTGCGGTTTCGAACACACACAGGGTCAACGGGTAACTGTACAGGGGGGTTGGGGTAGGTCTAGGGATCAAGCCCTGGGATCTGCACTGTCACGCGAACTGGGTGAAACCGTTTCAGATCCCCTGACCTGTTCCTTACTGGGACTTCCTTCTAAGGAGTTTAGTTTTGTAGTTTTTCGACGTCTTGAGGTCTGCGGGGCTCAACCCCTGTTCTTGTCACTTGCTGGGGTCTCTCTTCTGGGCAGCCTTAGACCGGTAGGCCATTTCTTTTCGTCTTTTTTCTGCTGTTTATGTGTAGGCCTGTAGGTCTTAGTGTTCTGTTTGTCTTAGGTCAAAGTAGAGGTCGTGTCTAGAAATAGGAGGCTGGCGAGGCACTCGGGGTTCCTTTTGCGCATTCTTCTTTTCACGAGCTGGGTGTGAGGTCGTGTTGGAGCTGGAGCACTATTTTTCAGTAGCGCGGCAGCATCATCTTCACACGCTTCTGGCAGCCATAGCTGGGGCCGAGAAGCTTTGTTGATGGCATCACTAGGCTAGGCATGCAAGTACTGAAGAGCGCTTCCTCCTATTTGTGTGCTGTTGGGGTTTGGGAAGCTGCCACTAAGCAGCTCCTTGAAGTCTGCCTCTATGTGGGGGGCCTTCATCTTCATCGAGTTGTTCTTCTTCTCCTTCATCCTGGGAGCTGCGCTCCCCCGCTGAGCGGACACATCGTCTGCAGCTGGGCTTCACAAGTGGTGCAAAGGGACATGTTGGATTTAGGACGGTGTGTGGCGATTGGCATGCTTGATAGGTTGGGTGCTCACAAGCACCATAGCTAGAGCTTGAGGAACAGGTCAGGGAGGAAGAAGAAGACTCCTGGATATTTCGATGAAACTTTGTAAATAATTGGTCCATCGGTGTTGATAACGTGGTTGGGATTCTTGGGGAAATTCGTGTTGCTGATTGAATTGGGGAGGGACGGTAATTTAGAATTGATTTTCAATTCAATTCTATTTCGGGTATTTGTGTGTTCCGCTGTGTATTTTCCTCATCTGGTTTTGGTGTGGATTGCTCTCTCCAAGTCCACTTGTCATTGCGCATGTGTATGGGCACGTGTGGATGCCATGTTGGATTTCGTTTCAATCAGGCACATAGCATAATCATGGAAAATCATGGAAAATAGTAAATACATGCAAAACATTTTTACCAGAAGTACAAGATGCAGTACCGTCTTGCATTTGGCGATCGATCTTGGCTGGTGCTGGCAGTCTGGTTGGAGTGGAACTCTGTGACTCCGAGAACTTAGGTTTCTTTGGCCTTTTCTGGGAAGCAGCTTGATGATTTGCTGATGTCACGCTAACACCTCGTGCACTTGGAGTTGTTTCCCGCTTTTGCTCATTCAGTGAACTACCTTTCCTCACAGGACTAGTTCGCCTGACCCCCACCGGACTAGTTGGGCTGAACCCCACAGGACTAGCTGGGCTGAGCCCCACAGGACTAGTTGGGCTGACCCTGGATGGTGGACTCGTCTGATGTTGTAAAGCGCCAAAGGACACTGGCATCCCTTTCAGGTACTTCTGTATCCTCTTCTTTCCTGCAGTCGAAATCATTTACAACACAGTTGCGAAAAAACCAACAAATACAGTCAGGAACAACAGCGGCCTGAGGAAGAAATGATGGACCTCAACAATTTTTCGAGTTATCTGCATTATATTGCAAGAGCCAAATGGAAAGTGGTCTGTAACATTCCATCTAACGCAGAAATGGGACGGCTGCGACCTTCACAGAGAGTTATTCACAATCATATCATCTCAGTATCCTTTGTGACAAATGTGAGGAATGTGTCCTGCCCTAGACAACATGCATATGTCCTGACTGTGGCCCCCAGCAAGACACGTGCCCGCCCTAAGTGAAGGCGGGCCTGAATATCCACGACAGGCCCTTCTCTCAGCATTTTCCAATATGGGTCTCAGACAGTTGCTGCACGCCAGTTGGTTGAAGTGAACCCTGGGCTCTTCCGGAAGAAGCAGCTGCGTCAGGCAGTTGAGCCCAGGACACAGGTGGTTGCGCCCTGGGCACACGCAGTGTGAGGCCGCCACTGGGGCCCG